TGTGAACTTAATCGATTTGTCAGTTTCTTTTTCTTCTCATTAGGCAATAATAAGCAAGGAGTCGATTGTAATAACAAAATCAACGTCACAGACACTTTAATTGTATACTTGCGAGCTTAAGAATTTTTTTTTACAAAACATGTCGATAAGCATTATTAAAAATTTATAGCTTTTTTTATAAAGAAAACTCTAAGAAACCTGGAACAAAAGTAGACCTTGAAACTTTTCGGTGTTTACCACTTCAAAACACTCAAAACATTAACAAATAATCGACTATACTTTAAAATTGAAAAGAAAACAAACCTTCAATTTCTAATTACTCTTGAATGTTTAAAATTATAAAAAATCTAAATTTGAATATGAAATAAAAAAATAAAATAATGTAAAAATTAAGTGAATTTAATTGATTTAATTTTTCACTTAGATAAAAGCAGAATTTAATTACATAAAGATAATTACTATAATGTAATGAGCAAAGTTTATAGTTAGTTGTTTTTTCTTTATTATGGTTTTAAAACTTTGATTAACCGCGCTTCTAAGCTGCAGGAACTAAAACTATCACTGTTTTTCTTAGCAAACAATGTTATCCTTGAATACTAAAACTTGATTTTTTTTATAACTCATCTAATAACTTTGTTTTTAAGTAACTATAAAATTTAACGATACGTAAAATTGACTAATGAAAGTGAATGTTAAATGTAACATGAGCAATCAATAGCACACATTCAACATCTTTTAAGCAAACATCTTTCCTGTATCTTTTTTTTGGCTTCCGAGATTTTTAAATTATTCATCTTTTTTTTTTAGTAATTATCAAAAATACTTTTTATGTGGTTGTGTGCGAAATAATGAATTTTTAAATTGCATTAAAAAAATATAATATCGTGATTTGTTACCAAGCAAAAGAAGTCGCTACTTGACATTTAAATTATTTTCGTTTTGCGTGAAAAAAAAATCTTGACATTTGCTCGTTATATATGTATGAAAGAATTTATATGAATTAATGCATTTTTATATTTTTAAGCTTTGTGTCTCTACAGTAAGTTGCGCAGAGGATAAACACAGCTGCATGCGTTGTCACTGCAAAATAGTAGGAGTAAAATCTAGATTAATAACGTCAATTATTTTTCTACTGCATTTATATTTGCTTTGCGGTATTAAAAGAATGCTCTTATAAGCGTATGTACCTAGGTATATATAATTTTAGCTCTTACTTTTAATTTATTTTTTTATTTATTTATAAACGCCCGCAGCAATTTTACGAGGGAAATTACAAATAGTGCAAAATTTTATGTTAAATTAAAAACGACAATAATGTCTGAAAAATAAATATTGATAATGATAGTCGATCTTATTTATTATCTACCAAGATCCAAAAAAACAAAAAAAAATTAGAAAAACGGTAGACCCTGAAGGCCATTCCCGCTAATTCCATACCTAGTTGCTTAAAATTGCACCAATGATATTTTTGGGCTCTCCGAGCTCAAAATTACAATTTATGTGTTATTTTAAGCTCTTCGAGCTTAAAACAATGGCTTTTCTATGCTTTTGAGCCCTTCGAGCTCAAAAGTCTGATAGCAGTTTCATAATAGAGCAATATTTTTTTAATTTTCAAACCGCACTAACTTTTGAATGAATCAACGGATTTTCACGCGGTTGGCAGTATTTGACGCAATTTTTTCAGTTTCATGAAGAATCTTCAAGTTTGAATTGATAAAACTAATCAGCCGTTTAAAAGTTATTCCAAAAAAGGTCGAAGTTATGTTAAAAAAAACACTTGTTTCCAAATATTTTATCGAAGATATCTCTCGAACCAATCAACCGATTTCTACGCTCTTGGCGGCGATCGACGCGGTTTTTTAATCTCTAAATATTATTCCATTTCATCAAAAACGATCCGAGAAGAAACGTCGAAGTTATGTAAAAAAAAACGCTTTTTTCGGTTTTCTTTCGTTCACGATATCTCTTGAACAAATCAACCGATTTTGACCAGATTAGCGACGATCGGCGTGGTTTTTCAAGCTTAAGGGCGGATTAGATTTTGAAGATGATTGATAAAGCCGTTTAAAAGTTATTCCAAAAAAATCACTCAAAAAAAATTTTTTTCTTATTTTTTTTGATATTTTTCCACATCGGACATCCCCGTAAAAATAGTCATATCTATCTAGCATTACAAAAAATTTTATTCCAGATTGAAAAACAGGCCCTAAATCTAAAGTCTAATAAATTGTATTATATCAATAAGTATTTTTCAGAAAAAATCAGCGAGAAAAAACCATCAATCAAAAATTGATCGATGAAACCTTTACATTGATGATCAACAAAAACAATTGAAGTATAATATCTAATTCTCCATGCACTTCTAAATAATAACTATTTCTCTTAAATTGCATTACTTCGGGAAAATTCAAATTATTTTAATTACTGATAATTGAGCGTAATGTGAGTTCAATAAAACAAGTAAGTACAGACAATTAAATTAAACAGATAAATTAGCGACACTAGAAGTAGTTGATTACTTTCAAGATGTAAATATACCTCCATGTTCTATGTTCCATGTTCTATATGCACCTATAGGCATTGATTGCGATGTTGAACGAACATCAACGTACTTCTCTTTTCTCTTATTCACATTAATGATGAGAGTGAAACCGTGCGAATGTGAAAAGTAGCGATCGACATTAGTTTCGTAAGGTCTTCCCTTCAATCGCGTGATTACTCAGTAATCCTGGTCTTCCCAAGCATAAGAAATTAATTTACATTATATAATATAATAAATTATTATTTAAATTAACATTATAATGTTTAAAACAATTCTAAATATCCTTTGATATGAAATTAATAAATCAATATGAAGTTAATTAACCGTAAAAACTTTTTTGTCATGGCCTTATATTTCCATGTTAGAGAATTTTGTATCTATGTATAACCTGACACAGTTTGATATGTCCATATACAATTTTTGATATATCCTGATTAGGGTGCTTTGTTTGAGAAGACTAAAGCAGTTTTCTCGAAACTGAAATTGATTTATTTTTACTTATATCGCACACGCAGAAAAAATTTTGTTAATATAACCTAAGATATGTTATGCTAACAAATGAATTTTCTTGCTCCACCCGCCGAATGTACGAAGATATTATGGCATGGATATAACGCCAAGAATTTTATGTCGCGCGGATATAATGTCGCGGATATAATGGCCTCGGGTTGTATGTTATGTTACCGGCTACAATGACTTTACGAGAAATATTAAAGCCGAAGAAAAACGTAGAACTTCAGCAACATCTTCATCTTCTGATATTTTATTTGATCAATCTATGACAGTTTCTACCAGTCAACAGAAATTTCTTGCGAATGCTCACAACAAATCTCAATTCATTTCAATGTTGAAAGAAAAGTTTACTGCTGAAAATATATTGGTGAAACAAGCTAATAATGATGCTGATGTAATAATAATTGAAACAAGTGAAGATGTAGACTTACTCGTATTACTCACTGCTCGAACTCCAATTGAAAAAACTATTTTTTTTTAAGCCTGGAAAAGCTCCACATTGATCGCTAGTTTATTCATCAAAAAATTTATCTACTTTTGCAAAGTGTCAAAATCATGCACTGCTTTTACATGCAATAACTGGCTGTGATACGACATCTGCATTTTTCAGGCGAGGTAAAACAACTGTTTTTAAAATGTTTGAAAAATAAGATTTAGTTCAATGTGCTGAAGTTTTTAAAAAAAGTAATTCTACTCCACAAAAAGTTATCACCAACGGAATTCGCTTTCTTCTCTCTATGTATGGAGCTCCTAAAAAAATTACGTGCTTAGATAAGTTTAGATATTCATGTTTCGTTAAAAATACTCGAAATAAAAAACAAGTGCAGTTAGCATGTCTTCCTCCAACCTCAGCGGCTGCTCATCAACATCGGGAAGTTGCAGGGATGGCCTTTAGGGTGAACCGTTTTTCTAATTTTTTTTCACTCTATCCATGAAATATTATTCCAAACATGTTCAAAAATTTTTTTACAAATAATAGGCTTAATTTTAATTCTAAGTAATTACTGAATGAATTTGAAAATTTCCCATTTAATTAACACGTAAATTATATTTTTATTTTTCAATTACCTATAAATTCACGACAACCAATGTCACTTCATCAGCCATAGGTGGAAATTTTCAGAAAATCTTTATTCTTTAAAAGTGTCTATACACAGTAAAAATTTTTGCGTCATTGCGTCAACAAATTTTGTGATAAAAATTTTTATGTTAAACATTTAACACTTTTTTGTGTTGATTTAACAGAATAAGTGTTAAATATCTAACACAAAAATTTTTAAGACTAAAGTATTCCATGCAATGACGAAAAATTTTTTACTGTGTAGCTAATTTGTTCTCTAAATCGTCTCACCACTAAAAAATTTTTGAGTCGATTTTTGCTCAAATTTAATAATTTTTTTAATTTTTCTCTTAAAGCATAGATGTTTCAACAAAATTGTATGAAAACTTTTCGATAAAAAATTCGTTTTTCTACAAATAAAGTCATGTTATAGAATAGTCAGAATAGCTAGACTCTCCAAGCACTCAACTGTCATTAATTTTCAGTTTAATCAAGTATTCAATTAATTTTTGCTTAATATAGAATGTTAATTGTTTTATTACTCTCATCTATAATTTAATATAGCCATACAAAGCTATATATGGCCGTATCAGAAAATTTTTTTACGAGTGGTTAAAATTAATGCGCATGATTTGAATTTCTAATATTTATTAATCTACATGATACAATTTATAAATATGCAATTTTTATAGGTAATAAAAATAGAGAAATTTTCTTAAGATATAACACTGTACTATACTAATAAATTAAATTATTATACTTGATTAATTAATTTTACAAACTTATCATGTATTCTCTTCATGAGTATTGGATTTCATACTATACACATACATATTATTAGATATAACATTAGAATAGGAGAACTGAGAAAGCCGAATAATTACTTTACGCACTCCCTTGTGATTTAACCTAGACAAATAATTAATCATTAATTAGGTGTAATATATGCGAGGAAAACAATAAATAGTAAATTTAAGGCGAAACAGATGCCATAAATGAAATAGTGCTGAGTTTGCTAAATTTTTTATTTATTTTACACCAAACGTAAATTTACTGATAGTGAAAATTTTTTGTAAATTAGTTTTTGTCCTAAAATTCATATAGAAAAAAAAAAAAAAAAAAACAAATAATACTTTTTTCAAATGACATCGTTTCAGCCTTACTTTAATAAAGAAAAAAAAAGGAAAGATACTTACTTCGAATAAATTCGAGAAACCCTCATAAGGATATTTGCCACCAAATATATATTGGTACGATCCATAATGTCCGATTCGATATTTTCCAGGTTTCGTGTCAGATGGTATTTCCCACGTGATTTCAACTTGACTTGTTCCTAATACTACTGACGTCCTAACCCAGTACAATCTACAATAAAAAAAAAAAAAAAAAAAATTAAATTTCATTAAACGATGAGTTATTCATTGCAATTTATATTAAAGACGTTCATACATGAGACTTTTTATACTATATAAAAATTTTTATTTTTAAGTTTTCACAAGTTTAATTGTGTACATATTTTCCCTCAAAAATTTAAAACTCATTATCGATCATTTCGAAAAATTATCTATATAATTTAAAAAATAAGGAAAATTTAATCTCCGGCGTAGTTATTTGATAAAATGAGTTATTGCATGCCTTAAGTGCAAACGTACCAAGGCATAGCTCTACTGGGGCCTAAAAATCAAGTTCCCTATCATAATCCTCTTACAAATGTTTAAAAAAATACACTGGTGGCAAGAAGAATGATTACTGAACTAATTAAAAACATTGCTCAATAAATTAATTATTAATTTTAATGAAAAAACCCGTATTTTTTAACTTTAGTGGAAATAACTGTCAAAATATGGTGGCGTGGTCAAGAAAACTAAAGATATATACAATTTTAGGACTCATTTTGTTTTTCAGCCCTGTCATTAAACTTTTATGAAGAACCCTATTCAATATCAAAGCTTGACATTGCTTCTTTTAGTTGTAATTAAAACATTTTGATAGGCATTTACACCGAATTTTCCCATTTTGGTCGGCCATATGTTTATTTTTTTAGAAAACAGAAGTTTTTAGAAATAGCACGTAAACAAATTTTATTTACGTTTTCATCCAGTAAAACTATGAAAAAAAATTTTTTTTTGTATTTTTTGTTAAATATTTTTGTAGGAAATTTAATTCTCTACAAAAAAGTACTGAGGTAGTTTCTTCGTAATCTTAACGAGTAAAAAATTATTGAGCTTTAAACACTCGCACAAAAGAAAATTTAAACGAAGATAGTGTTAAAGCAACTTTTCGAAAAATTTTTTAGTAACTGTATGTAATGATTTCAAAATTTATCAAATTAGACTATTTCTAATATAATTAACACGTGTCTTTTGATGAAGTATTAACTGTGAATTATGAATAATTTCTCTCATTACAATTTGGATATTGCACGCCTCATAGCGCGAAGCGCGTGAGGTTGTGCTTTATACTCGACTCGTCAAGGTCAAGCAATTTTGTGATCTTTAAATGCCTCTATCACAACCATATTACACTTATACAATGATATAAGTAGATGTATATCGAAAAAATACGTAAATTAAACCATCTTTTACTTTTTAAAATCATTTTATGTTGCTATTTTGAAAAAAATTTTACGTGGACGTCCGGATGTCACCCCATTTTGGATGTACCAACGATTACTCCCGAACAAATTGATACTTCAAGACCGGACCTTTTTTATTAGTTTAAGAATTCGATGAACTGGGTCCGTATTTCATATCAGTGACCTAGTTTACGTATTTTTTTTTTAATTGAATTTTTATTAAAATTCACTACGATACAACCGTACAAAGCCAAACGAACTTTTCTTATTTGTCACATAAAAACTATGGCGCCACTTGATGAAGCTAAATTTTTTTAAACTGCGTGCGCATATAACAAGAAAAAAAGGCGCCGATATTTAAAAAAAAAATAAAAAACTAAAAAATTACTTATTTATAATTTTTTTTTTTTTAATCAATTACACAATTATTTTTTTTTTTTTACAATGAATGAATGAGGCGTGCACTTTTGGATTTTCCAAACTTTTTTTTCCTATGAGTGATTTTTCAAAATTGAACTTGAATTTCATTACGAAATCTGAATCAAGAGCTAGCTAGTACTTCCGGATGTATACTGAATTTAATTTTTTTATTTAAGAACATGTAGGACGGGTGAATATTTAAATTTTGAACATGATGCTGGAACGCTTTTTGACCGAATGAAAAATCATGAAACTTTGCAGGAGAACGTAAATAGAAGTCCTTCGTGAATTGATTCTTTTATTTTTAAATTTAATCATTGAAAAAAAAAATAATAGATAAACAGGTAGAGTTTGTGCGTAAAACTGCCTTATCTCAGGAGTCATCACATATTTAAGTAAATAAGCTTGACTATAAAGAAATTGCTAACAAACATACAACCAACATAATCTTGAGACTGTTTTAATTTTTTGGTTATTTCTTATTTTAGTTTATATTACTTATAAGACATAATTATTGAAATGCAGCTAGGTTGGGGTAAGAAACTAATTATCAACAAAAAATTAAATTTACTATATATCTTCATGTAGGCCGCAAGAAAGTGCTAAAAGTAAATTATCTAGTTTAATTTTTTTAAGCAGTGGTTAGAGTATTTACAAAGTCTGGTAATCTCCTTCAGTGCATTTTAGATGTAGTTCAAATAAGCAAACCGATATATTAAATTGTCATTTTTTGTCACTGGTCCAGACTAAATTATCGATATCAGACTGTATACCATGTTTTTAAGAAAAAAATATAAATTACATAATCAAATACTTTGAAACAGAAAATGTGATACAACGTGGATTCTAAAATCATATTTGATTAAATTTTCTTTTATTGCGAGTATTTAAAGCTTAATAACTTTTTATTTGTTAGGATTACGAAAAAACTACCTCAGTAATTTTTTATAGAGAATTAAATTTCCTACAAGGAAATTGACGAAAAATACAAAAAAAAATTTTTCCGTAGTTTTACCGGATGAAAACGTAAAGAAAATTTTTTTAACGTGTTATTTAAATGGGAAAATAAAAATTCATTGAGCTTCATGAAGAATTGAGATATCAAGCTGCGCTTTGGAGCGAATTTTTTTTATACCTCAGAGAAGTTTTTAAGACAGCAGCACTTGAAAAAAAAAAAATAAAAATGTTTTTTTTGGACCACTCTAATATATATATTTATTATTGTAAAATGATGAAAGCTCTCAATTTCATAATAATTTTTTCATATCACATTCAATTTTCCAATCACACTTAACTTTAATATATCAAATAGATAAACACAGCATGTACATAAATAATTCTTTATTAAAACTCTTTTATTACAGTGCTTATATTAAGAAAAATAGTATTAAATACTAAATTAAAATACTAAATTTAAACAATAATTACTCAATTTTTTTTTTTTTTTTTTTTTTTTTTTGGCAAGAGAATAATCCTTGGAAATCGCTGAAAAAACTTCGACTGTCAGGTCTCGAACCCAAGCCTGAGCGGCTGCTTAAAACTTACGGGCAGCTTAAGACTTGAACCACACTTTACTCAACTAATTTAGATAAATTATAGTTACTCATATAATGGTACAAATCATTGATAAAAGTAGCTGGCAGTTTCCGATAGAAGATATCAAAAAGCACCTGATCTGTTTTTTTAAGCAAAATCTTCCTTTGAAGAGCTTTTTTGAAGTTAAATGCAAGCATTTTCCCATAAATTGGAAACTTTTCGCTCCATTCTTCTCCTTGGTGTTCCGGAATCTGAAAATTTTTGAAGCGCAGAGCCAGCAGATTTTGAGATGTACGAAGAATCCTGAAGCAAGACCAGTTGGTTATCAATTCTTTGGTGCTCTTTAACAATTCAATCTCTTGTAAGCATTGAGCTTGAAATTTCTTGTATCTTCTGCCATCGAAAGCTTCGATGTTATTTTCGGAGACGTTGAGTCCCGCGACCATCAGTGCAACAATATGATTGAACAGCTCAAAAGATGGGGATGATTCTATCAGTAACTTCCCGTAAATGTTCCTGATATCGATATTAATATTAGTATTCAACAGCAAGTCATGATTATTCTTGCTCGGCGATCTGAAACTAGTATAAAAAATACAGTTTTCACGATTATGGTCGACAATATTGACATCAATATTTGGATGGTTTAGGAGAATTTCTATTGCTTTTCTTCCACCTCTGCTACACGCAGCCATCAAAGGTGTCTATGGAGAATTTTTACCGTCTATCGAAGATAGGATGTTGACGTCAGCCCCATTATCAATCAGGATTTTCATTATTTCAACATTATCATGCACAGCAGCTCTTACTAACGGCAAACATCCTTCAAAACATAGTTTAGAATCAACTGGAGCTCCGTGATTGATAAAAAATTTTGCTATCTCAGTACTATTACTATAAACAGCTGTCGAAAATAGTATTGGGTCGTTGATATTTCCTCCAGCAGCTAATAATTTTTTGACACCTTTTAGTTCTTTGCATTTTATAGCAAACAGCAACGCTGGTTGTATTTTTTCTATCGTTGGGTGGAAACTTAACAAATAGTCTATCATTGGTTCATCACTAAAGGCTATCGCAAAATAGAGTATTGGTAGCGGTTTATAGCGATCATTTACAGGAAAATCATATTCATGATAACCCTTATGTGAAGTCACTGGTATACTAACAACAATATCCTTTGACATCGATCCTTCTTTTATACATCTACACACTCTCACATAATATGGGTTATAGTTCAAATTGGAATAATCTATCCAATTATTATAATAATTATTTCTGTATGTGACAGATACTCTGTCCATTTTCAAAAATTTTTATCAACACTAAATTATAAATTATTTTTCTTTATATTATTCAGAATATTACAAAAAATTTTATAATTATCACTTTCACTTGTTTAATTATTAAATGTTAATTATTTATTAACCACAATTTTTCTTAACGTGATAAAGTAAATACTTTGGTCATTTTATATTGTGAGATACTGAAGTCTTGCTCAACGATAAGTGTCCTCTGATTTCTTATTTTCTTGGCTTTCAACTTTTTTGGTTAGGATTTTAGTTTTTCGGAGTGAGAGAGTCTACAGCCTTATAACGGACTTTGATTGGCTCTATCCCCACATCACTTACCTATGCTCCGAGCCGGGAGGGGGTAATGTAACAGAGTGGGGTAACTAATGACGTCACGACTAACCTTGAATTTCTCAGGTAATTTGCAGCCCAACTTAATGTGTCTAGCCCTAATGACGTGCTACTCCAGTAATCTCTTTATTGTTTAGCGAACTTTTTGAAAAATAAACTACTTAAGAGATTTTGGCAATTCATGTTCATTATCATTAGTATCAATTGCCATAGTAATGAACAATGGATCCGTTATATATTTGTAACTAGACTTAAGTATACTCTAAAACCGCTTTGTATTTTAAATGACCATTATAATGTCCGATAAATTTATCTTTATTTAGTAGTTATTATTTAAATGTCTGCGTTTAAAATTTTTCCTGGGTTAATTCTGATTTTAAATAATATAAGAATAATTATAAAATAAAAAAATTAGGAAAAGCTCAAAAAATAGCTTTTGTTTGCTTTTGAGCTCTTCGAGCTCAAAAGTTTGGTAGAAGTTTGATAAAACACTATTTTTAGAATTTTCAAATCGCAATAACTTTGGAATAAATGAACCGATTTTCACGCGGTTGGCGGCAACCGACGCAGTTTTTGAAGTCCTATGAAGAATCTTCAAGTTTAAATCGGTCAAGCCAGGAATTTCGAAGTAATTCCGAAAAAACACTTTTTTCGGTTTTCTTTCGTCAACGATAACTGACGAACGAATTAGCCGATTTTGGTACGCCCTTACGGCCCCCAGTGGGTACCCCCGGTGCCATAAGGGCGTACAAAAAAATTTCAAATTTGAAGAAAAATTTTTTTCAAAATTTTTTTTTGTCATCTCTACGCGTTCCAAGTAAAAATACGTTGTTTCCCGGAAAAAAAATTTTTAGTACGCCCTTATGGCTTCCGATAGGTATCCTGGGTGCCATAAGGGCGTACCAAATTTTTTTTGAATTCCTGCCCGTTTTAGGCATAACTACGTCGATTCCCGAAAAAAATTTTTTGGTACGCCCTTATGGTATTTGTAACGCGATATTTCAAAAAAATAAAATTATCAATCATGAAAAGATTATTGATAAACTAAAATTTTTCTTAAGACCCCAATAAATTTCATAAAAACTTAGTACTCATTTGACTCTAGCGTAGCGCATGAACGTCCTTGAAATCATAATAAATAAAAATTACTTTGTTTCCCAATCAGCATCTGTCGCAACTTCAATCCAAGTATTGTTCTCCAGTCTCTCAACGGTCAAAAAAGTGCGACCAGTCATTAAATTGTTTCTTGGATGTCCTGAAACCTAAAAGTTTTTTTTATTATTAAAAAAGTTGGTCATTGTTTTTTTTTATATTTTAATGATATTTGACACGTAAATTCAAAATATCGATTCTTGTAAGAAATTTTTTAAGGACTAAAACATGACTATATCATTATATTTAAGGAGATTGTGATATTATTACTTATTACATAAAAAAGAATATTTTAGTAGATAGTGAACTTTGAGATAAATCCAATAACTATGTAGTATTATATGAATCCTCCAAGGATAAAATGATGATAATCCGAGTTTATGGGGTCGCGGTAGGTACTTTCCAGCATGTCTAATGGACTGCATCGGTTCTAGATTTTTTATCTATTTTTTTCTTCGTTTTTTTTTCACTTAACAAAAAATTTTATATAATTGTTGGACGTAGTCTTCTTAAGATATAGGTCGAGGATTATTTTATCGACAAACAGAACATTGAATTTTCTTAAATATTTTATAAAATAAATTTTCACCAGTTCTATTAGAGCCTAAAAAGTTTTTTTCCATTTTTTTTTTGGTTGATTCAAACATATGAGTTGTTCAATTTATGAACACAATGCTGATTAAAAAAAATTTTTTTTTTTAATTTTATTCATTCAAAACTCAAAAGCTATAGCCGGATATTTACATGAACAAAAAGAAAATTTTTCACTGAATTTTGAAGATATATCATGATTAAAAAATTTTTGGTTGAAAATTTGGAAATAAAATTAAAAAAGTATAATGATATACAAATTGGCGAATCTATAAGTATAAAGTTTTTTGGTGACATTTCAAAATTTTGAGTAGTTTTTGCGTGATTCAACAATTTAATTGTTCAGTCAGATGCCAGAATTGGTTTTTGAAAAATAAATTCTAAATAATACATCATAGCAATATTCAACTTTAAGTTGTCTTTGAATTTTTTACTTATTTAAAATTTTTGAACTTCATAAAACTTTTTGCCATATAATTAACATTTAACTTATAATCTTTATTTATTGATTATTTTACGTACAGGCAATATTTTTATATGTATTACAATTAACTTTAAGAATTCAGTATGTTCTGTAGATGTAGAAACAGTGCAATTTATTGATATTTTTTAAGCGTTTGCTTATTCTTTTGAACTTTAGTCTGGCAGGTAATTTTTTTGGTAGTTTTATTAATAGTATTGTTTGTTTTTAATAGGATTGTTAGTATGTGTTTGACTAAAATAAAATTTAAGACAGTGGAAAGACAAAATTAAGGACAAAAATAAGGTAAGATCCCTATAAAAGAGTTAGGTTTAAAGTATTAAATTTTAAAACAAAAATAATTATTTTTTACTCTACTAAAAAGATTATCTGACAATTGTATTTAGTGAAATCAAATTTTTAATTAATTTTTGCTTGAGAAAATATGTTAACACAGAAAAAAAAGTCATCTTGACTCAAGAAAATCTTTTTCTTCAAAATTTACTTCTTCTTTCAAGTTCTTGTTTATTCTTGAACTAATAATGTCATATACTTATCCTAAGTAAATCTTTCTCTTGGTTTGGAAAGTAGCGCCAACGTTGGCGACGTGATTTTTTGGAACTAAACCGAGATTTTTTTAATAAAAAATTAAATTTAAAAAAATAACCTTATGCATGATTTTTATTGTTTGTGTTCATTTAATTAGACATTTTTAATTAATTTTTAACTTGCTGATTTCCTATTATATTACTGATTTACAGTTAAGTGTGTAGTGACGAAAATATTTGTATAATAAGCATTCGCTCGACTCATACAAAGTACACGGTTAGAAATTTGTTGCGTTAATAACTCAATAACTATAAGTGATATCGACAATCAGAAAAAAGATCCTTAAAGAGGAGGAAATTTCTGAAAAAAAGTCTCGACTCCCGGAACTCTAGCTCCATAAACAATAATTTTTATTTAATGTTGAAAATGGGTTTCCGCGCGGCTGCTGTCCTACTCGGGCCTCGATACACCCGTGTGAACATCAAGCAAGTTCAAAAACCAAGAGAATGATTTACTTGGATTAAGAGGTTTTTTTCTTCACTAAGTTGGTAAGCATGTTGGAACTAGGGAATATTTGCTTAAACCAAGATTGACCAAAACAAGAAAAAAATTTACTTAACTCAAGAATATATTTTATCTTCAGTTGAATATACTTGGATCAAGTAAATATTACTTGACTCAAGATGACTTTTTTTTCTGTGAATAAATGTACACATTTCTATAAAAAATTATAATACAGTATATTATACACTCAGTGAAGTAAAGTAAGAAATGTCTCAGATCACATGTAATTGTTGGCCGAGGCGAAGCCGAACTCGGTGAATTGTAAAATTAGCCGTTTCTCAATTTCTCGCAATTCTTGTATGGATCGACGGATCAAAAAATGATTTGAGGCATCTAAAAGGACTTCCACAAATTTAGTTTTTCTAAAAATTAGAGCAGATTCGACCGACCCATTCAAAAGTTTTAAGAAGTTTAAAAACGGCTAATTTTAAAATTCCTAAAGTTTACAATCAGCTAATTTTATAAGTTTCTACAGTAAGAATTGGCTAAATTCACGTAGCCACAGATTTTTGTTTTTCGCTATTTTATAAATGACTGAATTTCTATTTAGTGAAATTTCCATTTCGCTAATTTCATTAATATCATTTTTTATTTGCGACTAATTTTACATCATATGATTTCCAAATTTAAAGTTAATAAACGTTCTAGTTTATAAACGGCTATATTCCAGTAATATTAAAAACGTACTTAAATTAATAACCAAGATTGTATATATATAGCCATACCAAAAAAATTTTTCTGAAGTGACGATGACAAAAATTTAATTTTCAAAAAACAGCTTTTAAAAGTAAACGTGAAAGCTAGTAACAAATAAATTCTCAAATTGGCGCCCAGCGAGGCGAGCAAGATTGATAGCCTCGTTTGTAATTCAAGCAAATGTATATACATTTAAGTATTGTTATTAAATTTATGCGAACTGAGATAGTAAATTTTGATAATCATAATCATATTTGGTAATATCTATAAAAGTAATTCACCAGAGTGCGTTTAAATGTATACTTTATACAGATATGATACACAGTAATGTGTAACATTATTATCACGCGTTGAATGAAATTGCTCGGAAGACGATTGTGCAACTAAATTATATGCAACATTTATGTGTATTACAGTATTATTCTTATGTAATTCTCCAATTATTTGATCATTTGTTCCTAGTTTTTTTTTTTCTAGTCTCACTATTGTTTAATAATATTTAATTATTGGGAAGTAGTTGAGCGCACAAGATTATTGTTAGTATTTTAATTTTTCAAGTATCGAAAGGAATTTATAATTGAAACTGTTGAATTTTTTAATTTATATAACTGTTGAATGTTAATTTAAATATTTCGATACTTCAATGAAGTTTAGAATTTCTCATATTGCTGCGACAATTAGTTGCAGTATCGATTTTCGAACATTTATTGCCAATTATCTCATTCTCAAGTCCGTAACTAAACGAATCCGACCACCGAAATGACGATTAAATTGAATACAACAGAAAATAAAAATAGAAAGATAAAAAAAATATACTTACAAAAATGGCAGACACAGTTTCACCAGGATTAACTATTTTATCCGGCTGTTTGATACAATCACCGTAGTGTTTTCCCCATTTTGCTGTATCATACACCACTGGAGTTTGCAGGGTTATGAGATTTTCTGAGGTGAGATCTCTCGGAAATGGACCAGGGTCTACTCTTTTTTTCTTCGAAAATGAAAATGAAAACAAATTTAATACTGATTGAATTTTTAAGATTTAATAATAATTAAAATAATTTCAACCGAATTATGAAAAAATGAAATTTTTTACTTCTATACTAAGTATTCCGACCAGAAAATGGCTTAAAAAAATTCAAATAAACCAAAGAAATTGTAGTAATTAATTTTTAAAAAATAAGTTTTAAGTTAGGTGTTATGAAAAAAAAAATTTAGGAACATTTATTAGTTTATTACATTCAACAAACTGCATGATTTATGAATTTTATTTGAGTCGGAAAAAAGGCTTTTAATGATGTTACTCATATTACATAAAATAACTACGTTCTAATATTGAATTTATATTTATTATCTAGTTGGATTTGATAATTTTATTTCTATTTCACAATCTAACGCTTCTAGTCTTTAATCAGACTAAAAACTTGAAAGTAAATAGTACTTTAAAAAATCAAACACGTTTCAATAGAAAACAAAACTGAAAAGTAGAAAATAATTTTCAGTAAGTTTAAAATAAAGTCATTACCCAGATAAAAAGATGTTCAAAGATTAGAACGTTAAAACGTAACATAATTAAAACCAATTTGAGGACACTTGATAAAAAATCGAACATGATCAGATTAAAATGCATTTTGAAAATTTTTCAATAAGTTTTAAATGTTTTTGGGACTGTTTTTATTGGAATTTAAAAATCCGTTAACTACGAAGGAATTGAAAGTTAGTAATTAAAAATAAATTTTATTGTAAAAATCGTGGGATGCTTTATATAAGATATTTTCATAATTAGTTTTAGTTTAAAATAATCTATCAATAAAATATTTATTACAATCGATATCAAATACTCCACACTTTTATTACGATAAACGAATTTTTTTTTTATTTAGTTTGGCTTGCTATTAAATCATATTTTCCATTTTCAAAATGTTATTTATTATAAATAGTGTATAAAATTTACTATAAATAAAAAGCTCATAAAAACACTCTTCTATTAAAATGCAACGTCGTGCAAAAATTTCAAGTTAATCCATCAACTAGTTCTAGAGTTTTGACTACGAATATACGAAAGCTGAATTTTCATTTATAAAGAAGATGAATACTCACATGGACAGCAGCGGTAATGAGTTGTTTGTATTGTTGTAAATAAACAGTCAAAGTATGAGGCCCGAAAATTGTTGAAGCTCCTTCATATCTTTGTATCTTTATGATAAGTAATATAACAAAATAAATTAAAGATATAACTTAAACTAAAAGGTTTGGTAATTAAATTTTGTTAGGGACTGACATTTATGAATTTTCGAGAAAAAAAATTGCGGAGATATCACTGGGTATAATCTAAGATTTTACTGAGTATAATCCAAATTCTAAAGGATGGAATCTCGGATTATATCCAGCGGAATCTTACGCGGTATAATCTGAGATTTTACTGTGGGGAAATGGAAGATTACAATGAGTATAATCCATATATCACTCAGTATAATCTGGATTATACTACACAGAAAAAAAAATGTTATTGAATCAAATATATAACTTTGAAGAACTTAATATTCTTGATTTGAGTAGAAAAATTCTTGATTTAAGGAAATTTTTCTTGATTTAACGAAATTTTATTTGATTCAAGAATTTTTCTTCTTGAATCAAGTTAATTTTTTTTTCAGTGTAGCTACTATCTGAAATTTTTTTTCACTACAGATGTTACTGAGTATAATCTGGAATGTTATTCAGTGTAATCTTGTTCTCTCCGTGTAGTATGTAATAAAAATAAAATACCTCATATTCTTCGGGAGTTGCGATGTAATCGCTGTAAGTATTACAAAGTCCAGCAATGACAACAGTTGGCCGCGCCTTAGTGATCTCTTCAACGGTAGATGCTATAGTTTCTCTCATTCTCCTGCCGGACATGGTAGTAAACTCACCTGGAACACCAACTATCACCAAGTCGCCTATCATCGCCAGGTGAGTGGAAACAGTCTGTGGCTGCCACTGATACGGTAACCGCATCTATCCAATATTCAAGATCGATGTGAGGATGCAATTAAAATGAAAATGATAAATAACGTGAAAAGGGATCATAGTAACGAGAAGAGGAGTGCCGATTGTTGGTGTAGAGTATGAGATATAGGATATAATATATCATGTGTTGATATGTGCATAATATTGTAATCTAGGTTCGAGAATTGACCTTTATTGTGTCGAGAGTATGGGAACACAAGACCTTTTGGTTGACATTAAACTACTGAACCAAACTGTTAAACTTACCCTCCCAGTTGCAAGAAGTATTGGCTTAGCACCATGACACTTTATATCCTCCTCCGTAGGTGCAGCTACGAAATTACGTACGGCGTTCCACATGGGATTTGTTGTTGTCGTGCCTTGGGCGAAAGAAAATGAACCTGGACCGTCGGTTGTTCCTGCTGCGAAACTGTAACCCATTGCTGGATAACATGCCGTTACCTATTGATAAATTATCGGAAAAAATGACAGGTGTACTTTATTTATTTTCAATTAATTTTTATTATTAAAAAATTAAATATTAAATTTAATTCCAAAAATTCATCAAAAAAAATATACCTATCACAAAATTTTTTTTATTTTTAACTTCCCGCTAAGAAAATTGAAAATTTTAAAAAATCGGGAAGTTATTGTTTTTACCCCGTTTTTCGAAAATCGAGTTTTCATCAGATCTCGACGTTTTGAGGTCCTAGGAAGCTTCCCTGACTATTCCCACGATGGTGTCCGTGCGGCTGTATGTGTGTGTGTGTGTGTGTGTGTGTGTGTAAACCTCTTATAACTTTTGAACGGCTTGGTCGATCGGATCGAAATAGGTGGCGTTCCAAAGAGTATCATTGCCATTAAATTTCGTGAAAATTTGAATCGATTCGGTTCGCTAGATTTTGAGAAATCTCAAAACAAAATTTTCAAAAAATCGTTTTTTTGGAATAACTTTAAAACAGCTATACCGATCAATTCCAAAAACTAATCAGCTCTTAAGCTTAAAAAACCACATCGATTGCCACCAGTCCCATCAAAATCGGTTAATTCGTTCGAGAGTTATCGAAAACGAAAAATTTCGAAAAAAATGTTTTTTTGACATAACTTCGACATTTCTTTTCGGATCGTTTTTGACGAAATAAAATTATTATTAGAGCCCAAAAAATCCGGAAAAAGTGAATTTTTCAAATTTCTCTAAGATTTTCGGTTCGATCAGTTTGTGTTCAAAAGTTTATCATAGATTCTGAAAAAGTGCATGGATTACTGACAACCGCGTGAAAATCGATTCATTCATTTAGAAATGATTGCAGTTTGAAAATTCAAAAAATACTGTTGTGTTAAACTTCTATCAGGCTTTTGAGCTCGAAGAGCTCAAAATAACACACAAATTGTATTTTTGAGCTCGAAGAGCTCAAACGTCAGAAGTGCAATTTCAAGCATTTAGGTGTGGAATTGGCTGGAAGTTGCAGAGATGGCCTTTAGGGTCAACTGTTTTCCAGATTTTTTTAAGGTAGTTTTCATGGTACAATATTGTCAAAAAATTAGAGATTATACGCGCCGCAAAAGTATATGAGCTTGTAACTAAGTAATCCATAATTTTTACGCAAGACTGTACCCGTGGAGACGCAACAATTGCATACAATTGCTTCTGTCCCACTCCGTAGATATATACTTCTTCATAAATTGTTGAACTTTAATCCGTTATTGATAAATAATTAGACGGTCAAAAACTTTTTTTTATTTTTTTTTAAACTCACAACAAATATATTGAAAGACTGTCAGTTTTTTGAAAGCTTCTGACCGTTAGTTTTTTTTTTTATAACAAAGAAATTGGTACAGAACTGCAGAGAGCGTATACAATCAATGTTAAATATCCAATTTTTAATTGAATTTATCTCGGGTTACATGTGGTCAATCGACTTCAAATTTTAAGAGTAATTGTATCATCATGTCCTTAATAAGTATACAAAAATTTCGAATTTTCTGACGGTATGCCTTAACGACAACTACCTCAATGAAATGGATACATTTTTGGCTTATAATCACAATCATATGTATCAAACACAATAATTGAACGAACATATTTTGTCTTGCTCGAAATTCGAATCTATTTATAACTACTCTGAAAGCTTATCACAACAAATTAACTATTTTTGAAAAGCATATAAAACATTGAAAATACACAAATTTAGATCAAGACCTTTCCAATGATATTAAAATTAATTAAAAAAACTCATTTTATCATATAAATACGCCAGAGATTGAATTTCCTTTACTCTCCTAATTATATAGATAATAATAATGAGTTTTTAAAAAAAAAAAAAGTGTCAAGTATACATACCGTTTCCATTTGATTTGTGGTATGGTTAAAGAATTCCGCCATTTGTCCCGGCATTTTCACAAATTGATGAACCACTTGTACAGGACCTTTCAATTCCGTCAACGCTGATCGATCATTCCAAATATTCTGCAACAATGTCAAAAATTTCTTATTAGCAAAATTTTCTAGCAACAAAAAACAGAAAAATGTGAAAATTCAAACACTGGAATGAAGTTTTAATAAAAAATTTTTGTTGCAATAAAAACTCTCTTAGATCCATCACATCAATTAACCGGAAGACTGGCTTCTGGTGTACCCATGCATAGAGTCTACCAGCAGTAAAATACATATCAGTATCTCAAATAAAAATGCGTCTGCACCATCAAATAAAGACGAGATCAAGACGTTCACGTGGCTAGGACCCGTGACGAAGTCTCATCTATATCACGCTTACATACTTGATGTATAATGGTGGATCTTTATATTCCGGTGTGTGCAGAAATCCTTACATGCAGATAAATGTGTGGTATTAGCATTATAATAGCCCAGCAAAAGAGTAGGTTGTATCATGCATACTATATCTATAGTGTGGTATTGTGTTGTACAGAGCATGCTACGTAATGCATGTATGTACTGTGTACTATATATTATATATGATGTAGATGTATGTGTAATAGTTATTCACTTATTTACTGCACGTGTTATGGTTGTTATGCATTAAGACATAGTGTAGACAGGGAAAGCGCCGGAATTGCGCGTAAAAGTGAGGGTTTTTAATATTGCTAATTGTATATAGTTATTTAAATGTCTTTATTTAAGAAGGAACTTCAGTTAATATTTATTATGGACTATCTATTATCTATTATTGGTCATGAGTTGTGAGTTATGACTATGACTGATGTTTATTTCATAATATAGGAATGTCGATTTTTTTTTAGTTTTGGAGAACTATTTATATCGAAATTTTGCATTGTTCATGCTTATACAATTTCTACTGATTCTCTGATTTTTATTTTTACTTTTCAGAGTTCGAAAAATTTCAAAATATTTTCAATAATTTCTAGAAGAGTTTATTAATTATCGTCTTATTGAAATTTAGAATATATTTTTAAGTTTGAAATATCTTTTTCGATTATTAAAACACTGAAGAAAGGACAGATGTGTGCTAATATTGCACGACTTATAATGCGAAGCATCAGAGAGTGCTTTACGATCGAAAAATTTTTTTCGCCTAATTTCGGCAACTATTTTTATTATTATAGTCTTGTTAGTTCACGGAATCAAAATATTTTGCATACCATTGTCAAGATAATTTAATGGAGATTAATTTGACACTTTTCAAAAATTGATTTAGTGCAACAAAAACGGAAAAATACATCAAAATAGGTCAAAAAATTTTCCTGTCCGTCATGTATGAAACTCCGAAAACACTAACTTGCGAAAAAATGCATTGATTGAGTTAATTTTTTTTTTTTTTTCAATTCTTTGTAAGAATTGTAGGTCACCAAATGCGAATGGCTAGGTAATTCAATGTCATTTATGTACAATTAATAAAATAAAACAAAAACCAAAAGACTGTATATCTATATATATATATTGTGTATATTTATCTCACTAGAGGCACTTGCGCATTATCGTGCTTTTTAGCTCTTTGGTATATTTTTTTTCACATTCTTTATTTTATTAATATTTCATAATTAAATGAGCATTATGAGTCGTGCACTTTTGGATTTTCCAAACTTTTTTTTTTTTAATTCCTGTAAGATTTTTACATCTGTAAAGTTAGCATTGACTCAATCCAACATTGATCGACATTATTAATGATGGCTCAGAATCTAATCAAGTAACAAAATTCTAATTGGAGAAACCAATTGCTGGTAACAAAAAAGCAACAAATTTACCACTAAAAATAAATTTTTTTGCCTGAATAATCACCGAGATACTAATGGGCAATGCTGTATAAGTCAATGTCAGTTTCACCAACGTAAAATTTTTCCTTTTTTTCGTTTTACAATTTCGTATAAAAGTCATAAAATTTTTCTTTCATTTCTAACTTACGAGCAAAAATTCTTATTTTTTACCTAAAAATATTTAGAAAATTTTCTAAAGTTATTGTCGAAGTACACTGATATTTTTTTACTTTCATCGCATACCTAGTGTGCATGTCAAGCTTCATGCACGTAATGTAATATAATTAAATAAGTTTTTATGAAAAATTAAACGTTAGTTTCATTTATTCATAAGATTTATCCTAAATTAATATTATTTAAGCTCACTTTTAATTTATATTGCAAAATTAATTCATAAAAAAATAAACATACTCTTACTATAACTTTTCTTCTATAAACAGTCAAGTTGTCAGTGGAATAAATTAAATTATTAATTTTGAAATTCAATTAATACAATTGTGCTCTTGCAACATCGCCAAGTAATAAAGCTTCATAAACCCTACACCAATTTTTCATTTAAAAAAATAAAATGAACAGATTGAAAATAATTAAATTTTTTGGCAAGAAAATCGCTAAAAAAAACGGAATAATAAATTTTTTCTAATCTTGTAAATTGAAGATCAATGGAAAAAATTTTATTTATTTTCACAATTTCACTAATTATAGTTATAGTAACGACAAACATTTACATAATTATAATTTTTTATACTTAACAAGATTTAAATTGACTGAAAGTGCACAGACAGAGTTTCATAGTCCGTATATTACTAATTTTGCTAGGTAATTAAATCATAAAATGACATTGTTATCGCACAGAACAATTAACTGCGCATAAAGTTTATTAAGTAATTAAAAAAAGTGACAATTAATTTAGACTACGTAACTTGGAAAGTTGTATAAAAGCTAGTTCGATTATTACGGTTCTACGTGCTGGGAGGCAGTGTGTATGACTGTGTAAATTTATAAGCGTGTGTGCGTAAATGTGGGTTTGTTTATGTGGTATTGGAGAGAAAATTAGACTCACGCTGAGAGGCTTTGATGTTAAATGGAAATAAGCTAGAAAACGATGTTGGATGTTTGCTTCATAAAGTACATTCATTCATGATGTCTATAGGTTGTAACTAGTTACGTGAATTTTCAATGAGACTAAGGACTCGCCAATGTTATAACTTTAGCAATGGTTTTCTATTCTATTACTCCGCTTATTATATTTCAGTATCCTTGTCAGCCATAAAAAAATCCACGTGCAAATGTCATGATTGACTACAGACGAACGTCTGTTAATCATTCTGGTGTTTTTTATCATTTTATTGTTGACGATTATTCGTATCGATGATTAATCAATATATTTTAATTTATCCTCAATGATTCGATATTTTACGATATTAATGTACTATTATATTAGAGGTAATACGTTTTACAAATGATAAATGTAATTATTTAATCAGTTCAACTATCGATAATTTTCAATTAAAATGCATTGGTAAAATTAATTTAGTTATTGAAAAGATTAAATTAAATTTATGGTCGCTAGAAAGTGAAATTGTTTTTAAATTAAATTTGTTATAGAATTAATATGAAATCGATTTCACTGCAGAAGAATAAGTTTTGTATTCTAGATAAATTTTTATAAGAATAAACTTTAGGTAGCTTTGAAAAAATAAATTCCAAAGATAAATGTTTTTCTCAATCTTTAATAATTAAGTCAAAGTAATTGAAAATTTTTTATCGTAGCTAGAAAATCTGACGAAACTGTCGCAGATTGAATATTATTTTTCTTTAATAAGAAAAATTTTGATTTTTGACAAAATGGCGTCTATTTATAGAAAATTTTTCGTTTTTGTTAAAAAAAAAACTTTCCAAATTGTTAAAAAAAAAATCAGTAATAATTTTTTTAAATCTTATTCCTTCGTCTAATACCTGGATTAATCTATTCTTCAAAAGAATTCACCAAATTTTTTATTTCAGATATAATCCAAACCGCCAAAATGGAGATCACCGCCAAGCGCCTTTTTTTTAGAGGTCGTTTGGAACATCTTCTACAGGAGCGGTGCACATTTATATGTTTACATGATTGGCGCGCTATTGTATTCTTAAAAGTAGGCTCCATTTGAATAAAACCATCACTTGTAATTGATAAATAAAAACTGTGTCTATAAAAAATTCATAAAAAAATGTTGTTTTTTTAGCCTTGTAACTGCGTATAACCCCTTAATAGTATGACGTGAAGTGTATATAAAAATTTTAACAAAATTTTTTCAATATCTTTGTACCCATAATTGGTAACTCAAGAATTTTAAGAAAAATGTAGTTTTTATTGTCTAATAAAAAATAATTTAATATTTATCAAAATACGTCGAAGAAAAAAACAGTTGAAAAGATTCGAAAAACACATTTAAAAGTAGGAGTAATTTTTTATTTATTTATTCATAATTAAATGCCAAGGGAAAAAGCCAAATGGCAAAAGTAACAAAGTAGATGATTTAAGTACATGTAAAACCATAAAACATAGTCATTATCAGTAATATGGATTGTGACTTATAAATGGTAACAAAGTAATAATTTAATAATGAAAAATTAGAAAATACAAAAGTATAAAAATGCTGATAAATTTGAGCCATATGATAATGTTTTTTACATATTAGTTTAACTATTAATTTTCGAAGCAATATATTTTTTAAAACGCAGAATCCATTACAAAAGAGTAAATAAAGTAAATAAGTTTCAGCCATTATTAGATTTGGTTTGTTTAGTTTAATACCGAGGATTCGTATTAAAATATATAGGTTATAGATAGGAACCAATTTTCAAGGATATCACATCTGAGACACTTTTCTAAACACGAACAATTTCGCGTGCATACGCCATCTGTTGGGCGTCTAGAGTACTTTTAAATAAGACGATAAATCGTAAGTCGGACGTATTGAACGTATAAATGTTCTTCAAAATGATTTTATTAGTTCAAAATTTTTCCTCTTAATAAAAATTAAATAATCACTCTTATAAATAATGTTTTAAAGTAAAAATATTGTTATAAAGAGAATCCAATAAGTAAATCTTCACTAAGGGCTGTTACGAAAGTATATCAGATGGTATTTGAATCGACAGCCGATTAATTTATAAGATGTATTCATGACTGAGTCGGTGGCCTATTATGGGAGCAAACGTCTTACTACGTTCACACGCGTCACATTTGTGTTGTCATCAGTTTTTCATGGTAATGATCGACATTGAAAACTTATTCTTCATAACATAATATAATATAATAATCTAGTCCGTAGTTTTACGATGGCTGTTAAATCATTGCATTTTTATGAGAAGAATGATCTTTATTCATCAGTTTATTCTGCATGGAAGGTTTTACGAGGAAATTAAAGAATGACTAAAGTACGAAGCGTATCCAGATGAAAAAAGTTTTTTCAAGGAGCTGAGTAATATGTAAATTTTTTGCACCCGTATTCTCAGATTATAGAAATCTAAGTGTTAAGAAGAATCGTCATTTTCTTTAGAACAATACTAGGACTGAGTTATGTGTAGTATCACTCATTCTCAATGAAGTAAGTATGCTTCGTGCAAAATGCGGAAGAAGTTGTTAATCTTGTCAAATAAAATAAGCTTGAAATGTTTTAACAAAATTAAAAAAAAGGTTGAAAAATCCAAAAGTGCACGCCTCATAATCTCATTTTCCACAATGAAATTGATTAAAATAGAATTAAAAAAAAAAAACAAAATAATAAAAAACAGAAAACTCTGCTATAGTTTAGTGGCGCCAGTAATTCTAAGGTGAGAAAAAAAACTATAATAAAATGTCTATATAGATATACAAATACACAGTCGTATCTTAATTTTTTATAAATAATAATTAAACGATAGTGAATTGAACGGTCATATTAATTGAGAAAGTCGGCAGTGTATTTCTTTAGATGATAAAAAAAAAAAAATTATTCCAGTGCGATAATTTTTTCGATCAATTTCCCTGCTACATACACGGATCCATAAACACAGACACATAGGAGTCCAGGAAAGATTATTTTTAATTTTATTATTTACTATGTTCAACAAAATAATTGTTATTGAAATATATCTTATGCGCCTGACAGATTATTTGACTTGATGTAAGTGCACTGATATTATCCTGTAAGTGCGATAAAAGTAAAAAAGAATCAATTTCAGTTTCGAGAAAACTGCTTTTTTGACATGTCGAGAGTAGAGCACTACCTCAACGCTTCGCTTATAAGGCGTGCAATTGAAATTAAAAATTAAAAAAGACCATTCGACAGTCGAAATGGAAGTAGATTTCATCATAAATAGGAAAAATCATGGATTTCGAGTAAACCGGCGACTAAAACCTTATTTCACCCTAACTCGTTATTTGTTTACTTACTACTGGTGTATACACTGTATACAGTAAAGAAAAAAAAAAACGAGTGCTATAACAAATTTCATAATTGGCATAGCGGAATAGGACATTATTTTGGGACTACACATATGATATGGTACTCAAATTGAAGCTTATTTAAAGAGCTTTCAGATGCAATTTACAGAAATTCGATAAATTATTCCATTCAAAAGTTATTCAAGTACGAAAATGAAGAAATGTAAATTTTTATGATTTTGAAAATTTTGAAATCATTGCATTTCTAAATTACTGGACCGATTGAGCTCATCTTCGAACTTAACCTCGGTATCTATCTGTAAAATAAGTATGTTGAGTTTGGTAGAGATCCATTGTAAATTGGCGTTCGCCTACTTTTAAAAAGTATCTTATTATCTACAAATCGCGCTTTAGTTTGTTGCATTAGCATTAAATGCCTTAAAGTTATAGGAAATTGAAAAACATCCTAAATTTTCTTATGTATTTTAAATGGAAAAACTTTAAAATAAAAAAAAAATAGATAGAATTAAAAATAAGGGCTTAAATTTTCAGAGAATCATTTTTAGCATAAAAAAGAATAATTTGCTATGTAATTGAAGAAAAATAGCCATTCAAAACGAGTCACTTTAAGGAGGTATCGTAAAAAATCACTTTTCTTACAATATTCTTCAATTTTTGAATATGCGTACTTTTGTTTCCTCTATACGAATAAATTTTTTTTTTAATAGTCCGTGCGGTGCTAATTTTCGAAATATTAGCAATTAAAAATCGTAGGGTAGGGCGGGGCTAGTTGATCACTTTTTGGTTTGACCTTCCATAACTTTAAGACGATGTATCGGATTTAATCAACCCGAGTCGAAATTTAAAGCCGAAATAGAGCTTCCTAGTCCGGAATAGAATCCATTTAGAGCCCAATAGTCCGAATAGCACCGACATTGGACCCACAGGTCCGACTTTTAATCGAGAGGTCCGATTTTGAGTCTCGAGGTCAAGCAAATACTTCGAGAGGTCCGATTTTAAACCCCGAAGTCCGATACAAAATTGAAATCATTATTTTTACCATTTATTTATTTATCAGTGAACTTGTTAATTATTTTTTTTTTATTTAAACAACATACGAGAGAATTTTTTTAAGTTGTGTCGTAAAGGAGAAGCTAATTAATCGTAATTTATTTATTTATTAAGATTTGTACCCGTTAATTAATGAAAATTCGTATTTTCAAACTGACAGCTCTCAGAGGTATATCAGCGAATAAATTTATTACTTATATTTTTCCAGAGATGTACATAAAATTTTTAGATATTATATATGAAAATTGGTCATTGAAAAAAAAAATTTTATTTTCAAATTAATATTATTAATTTTAATAATATTAATAATTTTCTTATGTTTTAGTATAGGCGATCCAGTCCATAAACAAATTACTAATGAATATCATACAACACTCATGATCTTACTGCGATAGTTGTATGCAAACCTTACAACGTTATACTTGAAAGTAAAGAGATTTTAGAAAATTTTTAAAATATTTTGTAAAATTCTTTAAAGCTTTTTAAAATGTTGAAAATTTAGTAATTATATAGAAGTGGAGCTCGCATGTTTTTTGAGGATAAAAAATCGAAAAATTAATATTTTTCGGAATTTTTTTTTCTTCAAATTGTTTATCTCCGCGGCGGATTTATAATAAAAATTTAGCTTTAGCTCAAATCATCCCTTAAGCCAAGGTAATTGCATTTGAAGAGTAAAAAATAAAAATTTTGACTTTTGATCAAGAATTTGATGGTCAAACACTAAAATTTCGTTGAATTTGAACTTTGCATCTTGTTACGTATCAAAAACTAAACAATTAAAAAAAAAAATTTCCAAAAATATTAATTTCATTTTTTTTTAATTATTCCATTTTCGATGAAATTTAAAAAAAAATAAATCATTTGGTTGAAAACAATTTTTCATTGTGATTTCATAATTTGAAAAAACCTCAGTCCCACTTCTATATAATTACGAAAAATTCTTCAAAGTATTTTAAAATTTTTAAAAATTCTTTAAAGCTCTTTAAAGTTTAAGAAAATATTTTAAAATCTTATTTAAAATTTTTTACAGCTTTTTAAAATATTTAAAAATTTTTGAAAATTCTTTAAACATTTTAAAAAACCGAAAAGGTACATTTAGATTTTGTAAAAATTAATAAATACTTATTTCAATTTTTACGAAATATTTTTAACTTCCCGATTTTCGAAAATTTTCAATTTTCTTGGCGGGAAGTTAAAAAAAAATTCTTTTGAATTTAAGTAATTATAGTACGTAGCTTTACTAGTATAGTTGTAACGACGATTGACAACATTTCTAACTTGTCACCTATATTTCAATACAGTCAATAATTCATATTCAAACAAAATTGATTCACGTACTATCGTTCGTAGTAGCGTAATCGGTTACGCGTCGGCTTCGCGTCTGTAGGGTCATGCTTTCGAATCGTGGTTAGGGCGTATTTTTAATTTATTTCTTCTGGCTAGGTAGGCGAGTGTAAGTTTAGACTAACGTATGTTATATCTGGTAAATTCCTGAGTCCAAAATGCACTTTGAACTAAAAACTATAAAAGTTCTCTTCTATTAATTTTTTATTCAAAATATGTTTATAGTTAATAACAAAATGGTGGATCATAAGAGCCTGGTGTGCGCAGAATAAATTTTGCATGCGTTATAGTAATCTTGTCGGACTTCTGGGCTCTAAGTAGGTTCTATGCACGTGTTAAATTAGGTCCGACTTTAGACACTAAAATGGTAAAAACGGAAATTATCCTTCGTGTCTCGTACTTCGAGATTACGAAGGTAGTATCACTACTTTCATGTCTTTGACCACAAATTTAGAGCTTAAAATTAATAAAATACCGCGCCTATCGACTACCGTGGCGCCGCCTTGCTGCTGTTTGCCCATTCGTTTCTTTTGTGTCGGATAGACCACACGTTTAGAGAAAATAATAAATATTTTTTTGAGTATATTTCGTTTTAAGTAAAGTGTAGAATTATAATGGGGCATCACAAGAAGAGATCAAGGAGTCGTGATCGCTCCAGTGAAAGAACATCGAAGAGAATCCGTAAACTAGAGGATCAGATGGGCGTAATTGCGGCGAGCTTGGATGTTATACAACAGGCCATTTTGGCACGAGATGCCTTGACGCCGGAGTTGCCGGAGACGCACGAGTCAGATTTGCTAAATAATTAAGGTAATTACAAAATTTTCATGGATAAATATAAGCACGAGATGCGATGATTTTTCCATTATTAATCCTTCATGCCCGAGAGGCTGACTACGATTTTCGTATGTTATGAAAAGTCATAAAAATTATATCTGTTATGCGAGTACACTGTTTTATCCGAGAGGTAAAATAAAACTCATATGATAATCAGGCTTTACCTGGAAGGTAAAGTAGAGATTTTATTACTCTGTTTAATCCGAGAGATTAAATTGGAGTATTGTAAACAAACTAACCTTGTCATCTATCAATTATTGAATAAACAGATACGAAGTTAAATTCTTATGAATAAGGAGCAAGTCAAATTAAAACAAATTACTTGTGATTTTTAAATCCTTATAATTTGTTTTTCACTCTAGGTACCGCTGACCAAACAGATGACTCCGAATTGACAAGTCAAGGTACTCAGCCACCAGGGACTCAGGTTGTCCCAGAAACTCAAACTAAAGTTCCAGAAAATGGAAATACGAAGGAAAATGATGCTCCGGTAGATAATGCTGCCAAAACAGCTGTGCCGACATCCAAGGTGGATAAAGAGCCGGAATCGGAGACACCCTGGGAGCTAGATGAAAACGGCCTTCGCATATTTGGTGAAGAACCTGTAGGAAATGAGCCTGAGTTAATTTTGCATTCGAGTATATCGAATCGTTGGAAGAAATATCTCTCTGACGGCCTGAAAAAAGAGGTTAAGGATTCATTGTTGGATAAATATCCAAGAAAAGGGAAGTTATCGTTTGAGCCACCGATTTTGAATGAAGAAGTGACTGTGAATCTGAAAGACTCGGCCTTGAAGAGAGACAAATATTTCTGTTTAACTCAAAAGCTAGCAGGTTCAGCTCTATCAGCTTTAGCACCTGTCATTGAATCCCTGGTGCCATCTAAGGAACCAGAAAATGTTGGAAGACTGGAAAAAGTTTGGGATGCAGCGAAGTTACTGATCGAGATCCACAGATCTCAGACAGTAGCTCGAAAAGCATGTATTTTGCCTACTCTGTCTAAACAGTGGGCTACAGCATTAGAAAAAAGAACAACTGATAGTTATCTATTCGGTGAGAAATTGGTGGATAAGGTCAAGGAGATCAAGGCCATTGGGAAAGTAGGTGATGAAATGAAGCCTTCTTTGCCAAAGAAGATTTTTGCGCCACCAAATCCTTTAAACTGGAAGAGCTCGTCGAGCCAGAAGAAGCCGGTGTCTCAGGCGAGCGGAAAAATCTCAATACCGAAAAAACCACCGACTTCCAAGTTCCAGTCGAAACAATCGACATATCCCAAGTCGAATCAATATCGACCCCAGAACAATCGCTCCCAGAACCACTAATCTCACAGGACAGAGTAAGTATTTTTGCGGGCCGTTTAAGGTACTTCTTGAAGGCTTGGAAATCAATCACTAGTGATGAATTTGTCATCCAATGTGTAAAAGGGTACAAAATTCCTTTTAAATCTATTCCTGTACAAAATTGTTTACCACCGACTAGATTATGGTCAAAACAAGAAGTTATAAATATCCAATCAGAAATTAATCGTTTGTTATCAATAGGTGCAATTGTTGAAGTCGAAGAGGTCTCGGATCAATTTATTTCACCATTTTTTCTTGTTCCCAAATCTGATGGGCAACAAAGATTCATTTTAATCCTAAAAGAACTGAATACCTTTATTGACACGGAGCATTTCAAGCTCGAGGATCTTAGATCCGCGTGTAATTTACTGGAACATGGTATTTTTATGGGCACAATCGATCTCAAGGACGCATATTTCTTGATTCCAGTATGCGAAATTCATCGTAAGTTCTTAAGATTCACATTTAATGGCAAGATTTATGAATTCATCTGTTTACCTTTTGGGTTATGTACATGCCCTTTGACTTTTACTAAGCTCTTGAAACCTGTAATAAACTATCTTCGGTTAAAGGGATTCCTCTCGATCGTATATTTAGATGATTTTTTATGCTTAGGTGATTCGATTGAGGAATGCAGTGAAAACCTTTGGCAAACTATCAAGTTACTAGAGTCGTTGGGATTTATCGTAAATTTTGAGAAGTCTAACTTAGAACCTGGAACAAGATGTAAATATTTAGGGTTTATTCTAAATTCATTCGCGATGAGGGTTGAGCTTCCACAAGATAAAAAGATCTCGATGCAGTTACAGATCGAGAATCTAAAGAAGAAAAAGACGATTAAAATCCGTGATTTTGCCAAAGTTGTTGGTTCTATAGTAGCTTGCTGTCCAGCAGTGGAGTATAGTCTGCTACACTGCAGGCTTTTTGAGAGAGCTAAGGTTCAAGCCTTGAGTAAGAGTGGCGGTTGTTTCGAGGCCTCTATGGAGATACCGAGGTTTACCCTGGAAGATTGGGATTGGTGGCTGAAAGTTTTGCCAAATGCTAGTAAGAAGATAAGAAACAGTCAGTATGAGATGATAATTTATTCAGATGCCTCGTTGACTGGATGGGGTGCTTTTTGTGGCGGTGAAAGTGCCAATGGGTTATGGAGCAAAGAGGAGAGAATTCTCCATATAAACCATTTGGAACTTAAGGCTGCCTTATATTAGCCTTGAAATATTTTGTTACTGAGTTACGTGGCATAAATATATTGTTGATGGTTGACAATACGACGACGATGGCTTACATTAATAGGATGGGCGGTGTCCGATATTCTGATCTTCATAAATTGGCATGTGAATTTTGGAATTGGTGTGAAAGCCGTCAGTTATGGGTTCACGCAACGTACATTCCCTCAAAAGAAAATGTTGAGGCAGATTATTCGTCGAGGATTGATAACTCTGATACAGAGTGGGAATTGGCAGACTATGCATTTACAGAAATTGTAAAAATTTTTAATGAGCCAGAGATCGATTTGTTGGCTTCACGGATTAATGCTAAATGTTCGGTATACTGTTCTTGGAAAAGAGATCCGGATGCTTTTGTTTTTGATGCATTTACGATTGATTGGTCTGATTGGATATTTTATGCTTTCCCCCCATTCTCAGTAATAGCTAAAGTAGTTAAAAAAATTAAAGATGATAAGGCAGAGGGTATTTTAGTAGTACCCTATTGGCCTACTCAGGTTTGGTTCCCAGCCTTCATGAAATCATTAAAGGGAAATTGGGTGAAGTTCGAAGAAGATCCTAATTTACTTGTTTCTCCTTCTAGATCCCACAAACACCCGCTGGCAGCGAAGCTTACCCTGGTTGCCGCGAAGTTATCAGCAAAGCTCTGTTGATCAAGGGTACGCCGATGGAAGCGATTAACATCTCTTTAGCTTCTTTGGAAGAATCGACCTTGAAACAATACAATGGTACTTTGAAACTTTGGTGGCAATGGAATAAGCAGGTCAATGAAAATCCATATGTGGGATCGGTGGAGAAGATTCTCAAGTTTTTGTCAGAGAGATTTAGTGATGGCGTTGGGCATAGTGCGTTGAACTCTGCTAGAGCTGCGCTATCGTTACTATCAAATGAAGATATTACTAACAATAGATTGATAAGTCGGTTTATTAAAGGGTCATCCAAGATAAGACCCAGTCTGCCTAAGTATGACTCGACTTGGGATGTGGATCCGGTGTTAAAGAAGCTAGCGACATGGTTCCCGCTAAGTGAGTTGTCCTTGAAGAAATTGACAGAGAAGCTCGTAGTTCTTCTAGCCTTAGGAACTGCCCACCGTTCTCAAACGTTAGCTTTGATTAATATCTCGAATATCATGATTTTGGAGTCAAGAATCGAAATCCGTATTCCAGACAAGATAAAGACTTCTCGACCAGGAGCTTCACAACCAGTCCTGAAGTTCCCATTTTTCTTAAACAAGCCAGAATTGTGCATCGGTAAAACCTTGATCCAATATTTAGCTGTGACAAAAAGTCTTCGAGGTAATATTGATTCACTATTTATCTCCGTGCATAAACCACACAAAGGAGTTAAAAGTGAAACAATCAGTCGCTGGATAAGATCGACGTTAGAGCAATTAGGCGTCGATAAGAGGTTCACAGCGCATTCCACGCGACACGCGTCAACATCAAAGGCATACGAGAGAGGTTTGCGCATTGACGAAATTAAAAAAGTAGCTGGTTGGTCCCGAGAGTCAAAAGTATTTGCTAAGTTCTACCATCAGCCAATTATTACTGAAAGCAATAATTTTGTGGAGTCCGTGTTATCACCGAGTACAAATGGATGATTACACCACATTAATATAAAAATAACTAAGAATATTAATGACTCATTTTTTATTTTACGATTGTAATAGTTAATAAATAACATTTTGTTCAGAAAAATGTTTGCTCTGAAAAGCTACCTTCGTAATCTCGAAGTACGAGACACGAAGGATAATTGAAAGATTAAACGAGCCTGCCGAAGGCAGGCGAGGTTTAATCACAATTATCCGAGTGTTTCGTACGAGAGATTCCCACCCGAATATTAGGTAATACTTCCCAACCCTTGTAGGTAAAATAAAAAATGCAATAGCTTTATACGAATGAGCAAACAGCAGCAAGGCGGCGCCACGGTAGTCGATAGGCGCGGTATTTTATTAATTTTAATTAAGCTCTAAATTTGTGGTCAAAGACATGAAAGTAGTGATACTACCTTCGTAATCTCTCGTACGAGACACTCGGATAATTGTGATTAAACCTCGCCTGCCTTCGGCAGGCTCGTTTAATCTTTCAATTTGTACCACTTTCGGGTCTCAAATCGGACTTAATTTAACATGAGAATAGACCCGACTTAAAGCCCAGAGGTCCTACCGGAGTCCTACCTTAGGAGGCTCTATTTGGGCTCTGAATTTCGACTCGGGTGAGCACACTTGCCCCTTATAACTACAATTATTTTTTAAATTAACTAGAAACGATATTGACGATATTTCTTAAATTATCTAACAAATTAACCTGATTAATTTTTTAACCGTTTCAAACTGATACCAAAAATAACTTTAAAAAAAATGAATACTAAAATTACTCATATAATTATAAGCATTATAATTTTAAAACCGGTAGCATAGTATCTTCGCTATTGTTATTGTCAGACGCTATCATCAGCGGCTCTAGATGAAAGGCGGCAAATTTAAAAACTGTTACATCTCAACTTTAAAAAAATGATTCCTCTCTGTATTATATAAGACATTTCCTTATTAATCAGTTAATCACATTGGATTTTTATAACGAAATGACTCTCTTCAATTTTCTAAATTTTAAACTGAAAGAATTTCGATTGCAAATACTTTTAACAACTATTATTAATTTAAAATCAAAACTAAAAAATACTTTAATTATAGAATTATTAAATCAATATAATAATAAAATGATAGTTTAATTTCACACGGCAATTACAAATTAATGTTGAGTAAATCTCATTGCAATGTTTTATATCTTATTTCCAGTTTAAGTTGCACATTTACTTCAGGATGTTTGTATCATCAAGAACACTGCGGAAACTTTTATATCTAAATGTATATAAATATAGATATATACGGTTGTAAAAGTTTCAAAGTAGATAATAGTTGAAACTAAACTAAAACAGATAGCAAGCTATAACATAACAGAACTGGTAGTATAGCTAATGCAGGAGAAATGGTTATTTACTCTTCTTCTGTTCTCCTGTAACCTACCTCGATCCATTTATCCGTGACGCAATGATCATGAAACACACAACACAATTATATATAAAATAAAATTACAGTACTCAGCTCTCTTATCCTTTCATAAGTATATCCAGTAAAACCAAACGGCCAAAAACTATTGACCTATTAACAGTTTAATTTTGTTAATTAAATAAATTAAGAATCGTTTACATTTGCGTTAAATTAAATGAAGTAATAAAAAAAACCTCGACTTGTATCGAGAATAAATCGTAGAGTATAGACTCGTAAACAAAACAAATGAATAAATAAAAGAAAACAAAATAATTTATAAACTCAATGCCAAGTGAATGAGAGAATTAATGAAAATGTTTTTATATCACGAGGACGTTGTACCTCTTTGTCTTAACAAAACAATTGGATCTTTATCGTGTGTGGTGTGTGCGAAAGACCCACAAAATTGTCGAACAGGAGTCACCGGAAACACTTTACTTATTGCAAGAAAGTACGTCCTTGAGGTTTTAAGACACTGCATTTCTATATAAATTTTTTTGCCGTAAGCTATTACTATTATCTTTATACTTTGCACTCATATAAGCTCTTTATTGCCGCATTACATTATTATATTATTATAATTATTATTATAAGAGCGGGATGTTCTTTCACGATATATGCCCATTTGTATGCAGCATATACAATCGTTTAATGAACTTATAATCTTCAAAGACTCGGGAGTATAAAAGTCCTTTGCAAATTAATCCGATCGGTGCTTTAGAAAGTTCGTAACAACTTTTCAGATCATTCCGGATATTATATTTATTTATCGTACATCGTATTATATACGTCTAGCCTAACCCTTATGTAAATCCTAAAAGACTTGGTAATCTCGTATAATGACGTGAAGTGGCAAACTTGCGTCATACGGTTTTTTACGTCAGATATTTATTTTTAAGGTATTATTTTAACTAGAAAAATTAATGTGTATTTTAAGTGTTTGTGTAAATCATTTATTAGAAATTTAACTACTGGAAGATAATTATCAGCTCTAGTGATTTTATGGTGACAATTATAAGTGATAAATTACGAGATGATAACGGAAGAAAGTTTAAAAGTTATGCAGGATATTATTTGACATTTTATCGAAGAAGAAATTAAATTTAAATTTGATTTTAAAGTTTGGGATAGTACTGTATCTTGAGCCGTATTAACCCAATAGATTCAGAAAAAATAAAAAAAAATCGAATAATTCCAAAATCTGTTTAGATTAATTTCACCACAAACTGCGACAAATGTTGTAATCCAAATCAAGATCGGTTGATTTATTCGAGAGATCGACTCCTTTATTTCAACACACAGTAACGGACATTTCTTAGATTTTTTTAAATTTGCAGTTTAGAAGATAAGTTTATCCGCTAAATTGATAAAAAATTTTATTTAGACATGGAAAGTATATCAATAAAAAAAAAAATCACATTATTTATTTAAAGTACACTGATAAAAAAGTTAACTTGATTGAAAAAACAAAAATCTTGAGTCAAGAACACCAGTTTTCTTTAAAATGGCATTCTTAGGTCAAGATTTTTGTTCTTGAATCAAGTTAACTTTTCTATCAGTGTACTAAAGGATATAACAATACCAGAAAAAAGCAGGATTAAAAATTTGACAGTGTTTTGAACTGGGACAGCCGACATATCGTGATTAAAAATTAAAAAAAAAAAAAATGTACTTAAGTTGTAAATTTTAAACGGTGATTTTTTACCCTTATTAAAAAAAAGATTTAAAACGATTCAACCTATGTAAGATGTATATCTATATATTTGTCAAGTTGAATCGTTTTTAATCGCTTTGAGCCATTTCGAACCATTTAAAATCTTTTTTTCTTTTAATAAAGGTACAGTTATCATATAGTTATCCTTAGTAGAAATAATCAAGTTTTCACTCGATTCTAACCAGTAACTGGCAAGTCTAGTCGAACTGGCCAGTTACTAGCCAAAAACTCGATTTTATTTCTACTTGGGATGCTTAAAGATTACAAAGAGTACTGAAAATTTAATTAAAATTGTTCAATTTAAATTCAAAATTAAAAAGATGTTGAAAACAGTATTAAAATTTGAATGTTAAATGTTCAACAGTCTTGTGTGTCATTTTCACAGAATAAGAAACATTTGCTTGTAGTAGTTTTTGCGATGCAAATTTAATTTTACTAACAGGTTGCCTGATGTAATACATGTATTATAAACTCTGTAACCTTAAGAAAAGCGTACTTTCATGTTAATAAATAAGTATGCTGCAGGATAAAACTACCACAAAGTACTTAACAAAAATTAATTATGTTATTGCTCCAAAAAAAAAAGTGTCCTTCCAGTAGAGATTCACTTTAAAGTCCATGAGTACATAATAAAAAATTTTGCATCAATGCGTCAAAAAATTTTGTGTTAAAAATTTTTATGTTAAATATTTAACACTTTTTTGTGTTAATTTAACACAATAAATGTTAAATTTACACATAAAAGTGTTAAATATTTAA